GTGTGGGTGGGGCCTGGGAATGGGGGTGAGGGATTTCTGAGCTGGCCTCTTGGCCAGCCCATGTATCAGCATTATTAGGGCAAATGAACTTGTTCCCTTATACCATTTTTTCCCCTCCTTTTGCAGCCTGTGAATTTCCTGTCGAGGTCCCTGAACGTTTCCTCCTCGAGCAGGAAGAACGACAGTGGTTTGCTCAACAGAGCCTTTGTGCAAGTGCAGCCAGAGAAGATGTCCTACAGGAAGATGCCCAGCCACTTCAGACCTCCAGCACCGGTGAGCCCCCAGCCACTGCTCTCCCCCTCAGGATGGTAGCTGGCAGTGCCACCCCTGGCCCTTCTGGGGAGGAGGAGTGAGGGGATGAAGCTCTGTGTGCATCCGTTTGCTGTCAGGGCTTAGAATTGTAGAATCACACACAGGTCTGGGTGGGAAGGGACATTTTAAAGGTCTAGTCCAACCCCCCTGCAGGGAGCAGGGACATCTGCAGCTAGAGCAGGGTGCTCAGAGATCCATCCAACCTCCCCTGGAATGGTTCCAGGGATGGGGCAGCGACCACCTCTCTGGGCAGCCTGGGCCAGGGGCTCACCACCCTCAGTGTTCAAAAAATTCCTTCATTATCTAGTCAGAATCTCCCCTCCTTTATTCCCTTTCCCATGGACTGCCAGAAATTTCCAGTCAGACCCTGTCTAAAATGCTAGAGCTTGGCACCAAGGTTTGGAGAGGTGAAGCCAGTGGCCTCATGCTGCAGCTTCCTTCTGTCTCTCTGCAAACCTGCCCCGTGGTCAGTCAGAGCTGTGCCCTGCTTAGGGCCCTGGATTTCCTCTTGGGAATCTGCACCTTGTCCCAGTCCATGGGGGAATTTGGGTGATTAATCCAGCAATGAAATAAACCTCCCTTTTCCCAAGGATCACTCCTCAAGTGGACAACAGTAGGCTCATCTTTGTTTCTCTGGGCATGGCAGGTCTGTGAAGTGATGTATAAATGCTAAGAAAAAAAAGGTATTCCCCACCCTGGTGTTTTTTTAGGGTATTTCCAGGCTGGGAACCATTTGGACTGTGATTTTGCAAGTGTTTGCTTGGGCCAAGCCCTGGCAGCTCAAATGAGGATGGAAACAGGGGTTCTCTGGGGAAACTGCAGCTGGGGGCTGGTGTGGGGGTGTCCTCACATCCCAGGTGAGCCTGGTCTTCACAACTGGGGGTTGCAGATGTCCCTGGATTAGAGCTGTCTGTCTTGAAAGCTCTTTCTTCTAACAACCACATACTCCTCAGCCAAGTCATTCCTTCTCCCAGTAAACCCTGCTTCAGCACTTCCATTTCTCCTCCTGCCCTCAGCTGGCTGCTGTTCCTCCAAGAGCTAATAGAGCCATGGAAATGAAGCCTTGTGAGTGACTTGAGGGGGACAGGGAGGCAGCTGGGTGGTGACAGAGTGCAGGGGGTGGGGACATCCCCTTGTCTGAAGGCAGCAGAGCTGTCTGTGGTGTTCCTGGGCTCTTAGGATTTATCATTCAGGTTGCAAAAGATCTCTAAGATCCAGCTGTCAACCCAATACTACCATAAGCACTAAACCATGCCCTGAAGTGCCATGTCTGTGTATTTTTTGTGCCCCTCCAGGGATGTGAACTCCAGCAGCACCCTGGGCAGGGTGTTCCAATGCCTCACCACTCTGTCAGAAAATAAATTCTTCCTAATATTCCATCTGAACCTCCCCTAGCAGAGCTTAACCCCATTGCCTCTCATCCTATCACTGGGAGAAGACTCCAACCTCCTGTCAGGGAGCTGTAGAGAGCAATAAGATCTCCCTTCAGCCTCCTCCAAACTAAACACCCCCAGGTCCCTCAGCTGCTCCTCACAAGCCATGATCCCCAGACCCCTCCCCAGCTTCATTGCCCTTCCCTGGCCCAGCTCCAGCCCCTCAAGGTCTTTCTGATCCTGTGGTGCCCAAACTGAGCCCAGCAGTGGCAGGTATGAGGGAAGCTCACCTAGCTGTAGCCCCAAAGCTGTGCTGGGGCTGCCCAGGCAGCTGTTACCACGAGCAAGCACTGAAGCTGAGGCTCTGGTTCTTTGCAGTGTGTGGAAGGGTATCTCCAGTTCAGGGCACTGGGTAACTCTTGGCTGCCTTGATCCAAAGATTCACAGGGTTTTGCTGGAGGGAAGCCCAACCTCCTGGTGCCCTTTCTACATGGTGCTGCCTGAAGCCCACCTGGTGGTCAGCTCTTCCTGGGGCCCTGGTGAAGCTGAAGGCACCAAACTCCTCTTAAAGGTGGCCTTTGATCACTCCAGACCTGGGGCTGAGCAGCTCCTGCAGGAATTGAAACAGCTGGGAATAAACCCCAGAGCTTGAATTCCTTCCACCCCTCTGGAATCCCTTCAGTACCAGGAGCTTTAGTGGGTTTGTACTTTGGGAAAAGCCCTCAAGGGGGGCAAATGGGTCACCCTGAAACAGAGCCACTCCCCTGGGGGGCTGCTGAATAGTCACCCCCTTGGCTGGAGACACCCACCTCAGCTCTGGGGAGGAACTGGGGCTGTGCAAGTTCCTCCTGCTTGCAAGATGGGTGCTCTGAACTGTGAAGTTTTATTTCCCTTGGGTAGTGTCATTTATTTTTGCAGCCTTTTGAAGCAGGGTGTTGAGGTTGGGTTTGTCCTCTGCCTTAACTCTGGTGTACACGTGTTGTCTCTTCCCTCCCTAGATGACCAGGGCTTGGAAAGCAGTGGCCTGTGGTGGAACCCAAGACCAACTCTTCATGCAGGAGAAAGCTCGACAGTTTTTGGGCCTGTTGAAACAGAGCCACACATCAAGGACCTTAATCTTATCATGAAGGATTGTTCTGATTTTGGTTTTCTAATTTTATTTTTGAAATTTTCTTTTATATAAGTGAAGCAGAGGGGGAACCACAAGGGAGGGGGAAAAAAAAATCCCCTACCAGGCCTTAGGGGGTGGGGGTGGATTTTTTTTCCTCCTTCTGTTCCCAGGTAGATCTGTGTTGTAATAAATTGGGCTAGGTGCTGCCTGACATGTGGGATGCAAGTGTAGGGATCCTTCCAGAAGGACAAAGGCTGGAGAGCAGCCAGCAAAAGCCTCTCTGCAAGACCTGGGCCCTGCAAAGGAAGCACAGCCCACGTTCCACCCTGGAGCAGCGTGGGCTCTGTGCTGCCTGCTCTGGCTCTTCAGGGTCCTTTTTGGAAAGGCTTCCCCAGGTCTGGGGGCAGGGGGTGGTTCCCCCTCCAGGAGGAGGTGGGGTGTTGTGTTGTGCACTCCTGGGAGCTCCCCTGGGGGTTGTTTTGTACTGCCAGAGCTGTTGCTCCTTCAAATAAACCATGGTGCTGAGGAACATCACCCTGTCCTTCAGGCTCTGCCCCCGGGGCCTTGGTGGGACACAGTGCTGGGCTGGGGGGTGACATTCAGCAGTGCTGGCTCTCCTGGGGGACCTGCTCTTCCCTGAAGCTGCTGAATTGCTGCTAACCTCCCCCTACCTCCCCCTTTGTTGTTTCATCAGCTGGGGAGCAGTGATGCTGGGTGCTGAGGAGGGGCTGCAGTGCCCACCTTGCAGGAGGATGCTGCAGCCTTTGAGCTTAGTGTGGCTGAGATCTCTGCAGAGCTGCAGCAGCAGAACCCAGGTCTGGAGAGGAGCAGCTGAGGGAGCTGGGGGTGCTGAGCCTGGAGCAAAGGAGGCTCAGGGGAGACCTTCTGGCTCTGCACAGCTCCTGACAGGAGCCTGGAGCCAGGTAGGGGTCAGGCTCTGCTCCCAAGGAACAAACAACAGGATGAGAGGAAAGGGCCTCGAGTTGTATCAGAAGTTTGGGTTGGATATTGTGAAAAATTTATTCCTTGGGAGGGTTGTGAAGCTGTAGCCCAGGCTGCCCAGGGCAGTGGTGGAGTCCCCATCCCTGGAGGAGTTTCCAAGACATGGAGATGTGGTCTTGAAGGACATTGGTATAGTGATGGACTTGGCAGTGTTGGGTTAGTTATGGGTAGATCCAACCATCATTGGTTGGACTTGATGATCTTAAACATCTTTTCCAACTGAAATGATGCTGTGTAGCAGAGCCTCTTGTGTCCTCCTTCCTTCAGAGGCTGAAGCTGCATCCAAGTACCTGTTCTGGGGTGGCAGCAGCAGTGTGGTGTCCCAACTGGACACAGCCAGGGATGAAAGGTGGCAGTTGGAGCAATGTGTTATGCCATGGGGAAGGTGCTGGGGAAACTGAAGAGCTTTCCAAGGCACCACAGCCCTCGTGGCAGATCTGGGGGTGGCTGCACAGCAAAGGTGTGGGGAGTTGGGGGTCAGTTCACCCCTGTGTCTCTTAGTGGGGTCCCTGTCCCCAGTCCCTTTGCAGCGTGGAAAAAGAGAGCAGGGCTAGAAAAATCATTCCAGGTTGTGATTTCCATTGGAAATAGAGACAAAAAATCCTTACTGACAAACTTGTTATTCCCTTGGATCCTGGGAAAGGAGGGGCTTTGAGAAACCCAGCTCATTTTTCATTCCTACAAGCTCAGGGCCAAAGCAAATCCATGAAGTCATTTTTATTTCTGCTTCTCCCTGCTGTGCTGTTGGCTCTGGGGACACGACTGGGAGCACTTGGCTGCCTTGAGCTCCTCCCATTCTTTGGTGATTTTAAGACACAGAATCCTAAACCCATCCCTCTCCTCTGGGGCTCTGGCCATCCCTGGGTTAGGTGGCTTTACAAAAACCAAGCCCAGAGCTGCATTCCCTTCGTGGAGCTCTGAGCAGGCAGGGTCTGCTGGAGAAGAAATCTGGGCAGGAGCTGGGCACAGACATTTGGGACCTGCCCCAAAATTGAAGGATTATGAGCCTGGGAGGCATGAAGTGCTGCTCTGATGCTGCAGAGCCAGAGGGTGCTGCTGTCCTGCCTTGCAGGGTGCTTATTAAGAAAGATTGAGGGGCAGAAAATTACCAAGGAAAATGAGCAAGGCCTAGCTTAGTTAATGAGTAAAAAGACAATTAGCTTTTCACTGGAAAATGGAGCTGCCTCTGGTGTGGATGTTACCAGCCCAGCTTGGCTGGCCTGGGGCTCAGGAATAGGCTCCACTCTGCAGGTGAGGGGAAAAGGAACATTTGCTTCATTTGTCTGGTTGTTTTTTGGATGCTCTGCTTTATTTCCAGTAAAAATCTCATACAGGTTGAACTTCACGTTGGCTGCAGAGTCCCTGGACTGCAGCAGGAGATCCTGGGAGGGAGTTTTGCTGGGTTGAGTGTCCCAGGCTGTTGGCCCTGCCAGGCTGCACAACCCTCAGGAAACATCCAGGCTTCTCCCTGGACATCTGGCTTTGCTCAAAAGACTGGGATGAGAGAGTCCCAGGAGCTTCTTCCACATGGGAGAGGATTCCTCCCGTGGCCTGGCTTGTTGGAAAGCTGTAGGAAACCCCAGGGTGCTGTTTTAACTGAAACTTTGTGGTTGCTTATGGTGTTTTTGCATTTTTCAGCAGAGCAGAGGACCCCTGCTTTGAATCCAGACATGGAGAAATGATTGATTTTTATCAGGGGAGTGGCAGAGCTGGAGCTCCTGGGTGATTGCAGTGCCCTGACTGCAAATGGGGTGGCACTTCCAGCCAGGACCAGCCCTGGAAAAGCTGCAGAGAGGGAAAAAATCTTGAAGTAAGAAGGGAAAAAAAAAAAAAAGAGGCCCCCAAAGGTTTTTTTAATTCTCAGGCTCCCTTCAGGATGGAGCTGGGTGCTGTGTGATGCAGCAGAGTGGTGCTGAGCTCTGTGGCCAGCAACCCCCTGCTTTGAATCCAGACGTGGAGAAATGATTGATTTTTATCAGGGGAGTGGCAGAGCTGGAGCTCCTGGGTGATTGCAGTGCCCTGACTGCAAATGGGGTGGCACTTCCAGCCAGGACCAGCCCTGGAAAAGCTGCAGAGAGGAAAAAAATATTGAAGTAAGGAGGAAAAAAAAAAAAGAGAGGACTCCAAAGGTTTTTTTAACTCTCAGGCTCCCTTCAGGGTGGAGCTGGGTGCTGTGTGATGGAGCAGAGTGGTGCTGAGCTCTGTGACCAGCAACCTGGGAGCTGTTGTGTGTCCCTGGAAGGGTTCTCTGGCTGCTGGGCTTGTTCCTGCTGCCCAGAGGGGTTTCACAACCTTTTCATCTTGTTTTCCCAGCTCGTTCTGCTGAGGCAGTGTGCAAACAGCAGGTTGCTGGCAGGGGGGCTCTTGGGCACAGCTCCCCTGGGGGAGATCCCTCCAGCAGGGACCCACCAGGTGAATGAAGTATTTTTTATTCTCTTTTTGGGCATGTCCTGGAACTAAAGGACCAAAAAGGCAGCTGAAGGGACGTGCCCCTTCCCTGGCTCCCCCACAAAACCAGCCTGGGTAGAGCAAGTACTTTGCTGGTGCTTCTGGTTGAGCAATTTGTTGAGCAGTTGCTAAGCAATAACCTTGTCAAATTTCCTATGTGGTTGGGGTTTGTTTTTTTTTTATTTTTGACACTCTAACCTGTGAGTTTAGAGGTTTTAGGAAATTAAAAGGACAATTTTAGCCTGGTAGGTACGTGCTGAGGATTAGCTGAGCAGCTCCTGTGCTTTGGAAGAGATGGAGACAGCTCGTGTTAAGAGCTGCAGCAATTCTTCATCTCAGCCAGGACCAAATAATAAGAGATTAAAATCTGGGACGAGGTCAGGGAAAACATTTTGCTGTGAAAACCAAAGGGTTAGGAGTGAGGAAATGAATTTTTTTCTGTTTGGAAAACGTGAGAAAAGAGAAATTTCAGGGAGTTAAAGCTCCTGTTGGGAAAAGATTCAGAACTGCCCCGTGGATGAGCTCAGGCTGGGCTCCCCTTTGCCATGGGCAGCACCCAGATTCTGCAGAGTTGGCTTTGGTCAAACCCATCACTTGGGTCATGGGGGACCTGGTGACCTAACAGCTCCTGAAAAGTAAGTCTGGTGCTTTGTAGGAGGTTTTATTGGTAAACATGTTGGAGGTTTTGTTGTTGTTGCTCTTATCAAAAAGCTAAACCGTTTTTGTGGGAAAAGAAATAGAAATTGCATTCCAAATTCCCTAAGTTTTATTTTATTTTAGGGTGTTTGGTTTTGGAGATTTCACCCAGAGCTTTGGCTTTGAGTGAGGTCCCAGCCCAGGGGCAGGGATGTCACCATCCCCATCGTGCTGGGGGTCGGGGCTGCCAAGGGCCTCCCCCCAGGGAGGCTGCTGCTCCAAAATCTCCCCTATCAGATCAGAATCTGCAGCCCTGTAAAATAAAAGCCGGTTAGCAGTAATTGTGCAGCACATAGAGTGACAAAATTGGTGTCAGATCTGCCCAAAAGGACTAGATAAGGGGGGAAAAAAATGGTTTTTTAGATTCAATTCTGCTGATGTTCTTGTCTGTTCCCAGGGTTAGTGTAAATTGAGGCTAAATGAAGCCAAACCAGCCCCAGTTAAAGTCTAAACCTGCCATCTCTCAGGCCCTGCAGAGGCAGGCAAACACAAAATCAATATCTGCTCTAACTGTGGTGAAGTTTTCCTTACGGATAAATTTCTCCCTAATAATCCCCGTGGCTCCGGGGGCCGCATCCTGCCCCACGGTGCCCT